TGTGTGTGTCTCTGAGTGTATCTCTGTGTGTGTTTCTGTGTCTATGTATCTCTCTGTCTGTGTATCTGTGTGTGTGTATCTCTGTGTGTTTCTGTGTCTATCTCTTTGTGTCTGTGTATCTGTGTATCTCTTTGTGTGTCTGTGTGTATCTCTGTGTGTATCTGTGTCTGTGTATCTCTGTATGTATCTCTGTGTCTGTATCTGTGTGTCTGTATCGTGTGTGTATGTGTATCTGCATATCTCTGTGTGTGTCTCTGTGTATCTCTGTGTATCTATATCTCTGTGTGTATCTGTGTCTCTGTCTCTGTATTATCTGTGTATCTGTGTGTGTGTGTCTCTGAGTGTATCTCTGTGTCTGTGTATCTGTGTGTATCTCTGTGTATCTGTGTGTGTATCTGTATGTGTGTATCTCTGTGTTTCTGTGTCTGTGTATCTCTCTGTGTCTGTGTATCTGTGTGTGTGTGTCCGTGTATCTGTGTATCTCTTTGTGTATCTGTGTGCATCTCTGTGTGTATCTGTGTCTGTGTATCTCTGTATGTATCTCTGTGTCTGTGTGTGTATCTGTGTGTCTATCTTGTGTGTGTGTATCTGCATATCTGTGTGTGTCTCTGTGTATCTCTGTGTCTGTGTATCTATATCTCTGTATCTGTGTATCTGTGTCTGTGTTTCTGTGTATTATCTGTGTCTCTGTGTGTGTGTGTGTCTGAGTGTATCTCTCTGTGTCTGTGTATCTGTGTGTATCTCTGTGTGTATCTGTGTGTGTCTGTGTATCTTGTGTGTGTGTGTTGCAGGAGGGACTGTCAGCAGGTGTGACCGTGGTGCCCTGGCCTCCGAGCGGCCGCTGGGAGAGCTCTGAAAGAAACAGAACATTCACTGCGCCTGTCCCATTCTTGTTCTTGTGTGTAGGGAAAACCTGTCCGCGGTCCTGGGCCGCCATCTAGGAGGTGAAGCTGGAAGCCGGCCCGCGGAGAGCGCTCTTGGGCCGTCTTAGACAGGGCTGTTCTTTGCCCGCCGGCTCCCAAGGTGGGATAGGGGGTGGCAGTCGGGGGATGGGGCGATGGGGCGATGGGGGTTGGGGGAGGGGGGTGAAGGTGGAGGTGGGGGATGGAGGTTGGGGGTGGGGGATGGGGGTTGGGGAGGGAGATAAAGGTGGAGGTTGGGGTAATGGGGTGGGGGGATAGTGCGGAGGGGGCGCGGTGGGCGTGGCCGAGTGGGCGTGCCATGGGCGGGGCCGGGCCTGGGTGGGACCCGCTGCGGGAGCGCGGAGCTCCCTGAGTTCTCACTTCGAGGCCTGCGCTCCGCTCACCATCCAGAGCGGCTCCGACCTTAAACTCACTCCTGGAGAAGGATCGGCGGGTGCGCAGGTAAAGGGCAGGTGCTCCGCGGTCAGGAGGGAGGAGGCGAGGAGCCGGCCTCGCCTGGGACATGCAGGGAGGGTGTGCACGGCCCGGCTGAGCTGAGCGGCGGCTTAGAAGCCAGCCAAGTTCCCCTAAGGGTCCGGGTGCACCGAGGGCCACGTCCACCTGGCGCGGCTGAGTCCGCCCGGCCTGCAGCACAGCAGCTGCCCCCAGAGCCCCCCGGCTCCCTGCCAGGCTCCATCCCAGGAAAATTCTAGCCGGGTGGGCCGTGAGGTCATGGGTGGGGAAGTTGGGAAGCGTTTGGACAGCAAATATTCCACTTGAACTCCAGGGCAGCGTCTGGCACTGCGGGGCCTTCCAGCCGTGAGCCGCGGTCAGGCGCTTCTTTAGAATGGAATGCACTGGAGTGAAAACACTAAATCCCTCAAAGCCGCTTCTCTTTACTGCGGTCACACACAGTGAAATAAGTGGGCATTAGTGCAGCCAGCCCTTCTCCAGGACGCAGTGTGGAGCACAGGCAGGCTGCTGTGTGGGCGCCCTGGGTTTGCAGACCCAGGCAGGGGCCGGGGCCTCAGAACAAGCGTCCCGTGCTCCCTTCCCATGGGGTGAATCCGAGCCTGGGGCCCGGTGGTGAAGCTCCCAGGCGACTGTAACGTGGGTGCACGTGGAGAAGCGCTACTTAGAGCAATATCAGTCTACAGCGGGTAGATTTAGGGCGAGTGATTCTGAGGAAAAGAAACCCCAGGCTGTTAGCAGTTGTCGGCCGCTGCTCTCTACCTAACCAGCTGCTCTTAGCTTGCCGGGTGACCTGAGCTTCGCGGGCGGGGCGGGCATGGTGTCTGCCATTCAGGACCCTGGGCCGGGGCCAACCAGGGCAGGGAGCTGGGCACTGAACGCATCTAGAGATCACTGTCTGTCATGGAGGAACTGAGGATTGAGCCCGAACACAGAGGTGGAAGCGCCGAGCAGAGGCTGCGAAGAATTGCACAAAAGCTGCTTGTTCTGCAAACTGAGTTCACAACACTTGAGTGTAGCTCACACCGGTGTAACGTGGTTTAGGATCATAAGTTCCTAAAGTTTCATTACCCTGATGAAAAGCAAATGCCAATACTGTTCTGGTTTTATAAGAAGACCACAACCTCCAGCCCTGGGGCAGCTGGGATCTGAGGATTTCGGGAATACCAGGAAGGGGGAGGCCCTGGCTGTCCTGGAAACCCAGCAGCATGACACCTGTGTTACCTGGGTCCCGTTTCTGTGCTGGAGTGGCAGGCATCAAGGAGAGGTTTTGAGTTTGAGGCCATATGCATTTTGGAAATCACTGTGGCTGGGTGGTGGGGAGCAGCTGGGGGGTCGAGAAAGCCACTGCCAAGGCGTGCCCACTGAGTGTGGTTGCCAGGCCGGGGCAGGGAAGCACTGGTGAGTTGTAGGGGGGACTCCCAATGGGTGATGAGTCATGGATGGTGGGATTAGTCACCAGGTCCCCTGGGAAAGGCCAGGTGTGGCTCTAGCGCTCTGGGAGTTTGGGCCCCTTTATGTCTAAGGACACAGGAAAGTAGATGGACACAGTAGTTTGGGCTGCAGAAAAGAACTCAGGGAACACCTGTTCACAGGTGAGGATGAGGTCTTTTGGAAGAGGAGAGAGACAGGGAGGCTTTTAACTGCTAGTAGTGGAAGCGGGGCTGCAAGGGAGGTAAAAGCTACGAGAGGGGAGGAAAGCTCAGAGCTTGGAGACCAGGGGCAGGATGGGTGGGGGGTGGGGTGGGGGGCGGCTGGCCCAGTGCGCGTTCCCCACATGCTGGATATGCCAGGAGGGACTCCACCAACTGGATTCCTCTGCTGCTGGGGGCCGCAGGCCGGACCAGCTCACTGGCTTGTGGTTCTGATTTGGGGTTCTGTCACTGACCTGCAGACAGCCGGCTTGTCGCGGGCTGTGGCTCTCGCGCCCTCCACGTGGCGGGGTCCCTGCGAGTCCGACCCTCGGGGAAGTGGGCGCGGGCGCAGTGCCCTCGGCCCGGCCACCGCTGAGGCGCGGCGGGGGCGCAATCCGTAGGGAGGCGGGAGCCTGGGACTCGGTTTCTAAACTTGTCTGCAGGACGGGCGAAGGGACACCGAGCTACAGCGGCACAGCCCGGGCCAAGCAGCCGGCGGGGGGGACAGAAGGGGGGGTGCTTGAGGCCCGGGCGCGGCGCGGAGGGGAGTCCTGGCCCGCGGCTGGGAGCGGGACTGGGCGGCGGCGTCCCCGGGTGCGCGTTTGCTGGCGCGGCTAGTTCCTCCCGGAGAGGTGCGCCTGGCCCCGGGGGTCCTGCGAGCGCGACCCTCGGCAGAGTCCACCTGCGGCCGCCCGAGGCCTCTCCCCGCCCCCTCCTCCCAGGCTGGAAGGAGGCGGCCTCTTTCAAACAAGAGCAGAAAACGTTGGAAAGCCGTGATGTTGCGCTTATCGTCCTAGAAACTTTTAACCAAGTTCACATGTTGCAGAATCCACCTGAAGGCACAGACGGTCACACGCGCGGCCTGGGTCCGGGCCCGAAGTTGGGTGGGGGGACTCGTCTGTCTCAGCTCGGGGCGGGCTGGGGAGGAAGCCGACCCCGGACGGGCTTCTTCAGGTCTTCTTGGACGTAGGGCTTCTCCTGCCCGGTCCCTGGGATCCGGGAACTAGAAAGAGAACTTCAAATGCAGCGGTCACAGCAGCGATCCAGGGGACACGGCAGGGCTCGAGAGACACGGCCACGCCCCCAACTCACAGCCACGCCCCAGAGACAGACTGTCTCCAAAGGCAGGCCACACCCCTGGAGACACGGTCACGCCCCGGAGACAAAGCCACGCCCCAGAGACGGACCACCTCCAAGGACAAGCCACGCCCCCGGAGGCACGGCCACGCCCCGTAGACAAAGCCACGCCTCAGAGACCGACCACCTCCAAAGACCAGCCACGCCCCTAGAGGCACGGCTACGCCCCCACTCGCAGCCAAGCTTCAGAGACAGACCACCCCCAAAGACAGGACCACGCCCCAGAGGAAAAGCCACGCCCCAGAGACACAACCAGGTCCTGTAGGCATGACCACGCCCCAGGCACAAGCCACACCCCCGGAGACACGGCCGCGCCTTGGAGGCAAAGCCACGCCCCCGAGACACGACCACGCCCCGGAGACAAAGCCACGCCCCAGAGACCGACCACCTCCAAGGACAAGCCACGCCCCTGGAGGCACGGCCACGCCCCCACTCAGCCAATCTCCAGAGACAGACCACCTCCAAAGACAGGACCACGCCTAGAGAAAAAGCCACGCCCCGGAGAAGCAACCAGGTCCTGGAGGCACGACCACGCCCCAGGCACAAGCCACACCCCCGGAGACACGGCCGCGCCCTGGAGGCAAAGCCACGCCCCGGAGACAGAGCCGCGCCCCGGAGACAAAGCCACGCCCCGGAAACACGACCAGGCCCCAGAGACAAGCCCGGCGGATAAGGGTCCGGGTATGGAACCCGGTCGCCCCCCGCCCCCTTGGGAGGGTAGGTGTCAGGCCACGCCCGGCGCCGCGTCGGGGCCTCAGTCCTGGCGTCGGTGCCTCCCCCGACCCGGCCCTGGCGCGGCTGCGGGAGGCGGGGCTCGGGCAGGTGCGGGTGTCCGGCGCGCAGTGGAGGCCACGCGGGGGCCTCGGAGGGACGGTGCTGGCGGCAGGGGCGGCGGGAGGGCCCGGGGCTCGTAGGGTCCGAGGCGGGGCGGGCCGCAGGCAGGGAGAGCGCAGAGCCGGCGCTGGGGGGCGGCAGCGGCCGCACGACCTCTTCGGGGCTGGCTGTGAGGATTGGAAGCATCTTTTTTTTTTTTTTCTAAAAAGCTACAACCATGTGTGCTTTCTGAAATGTGGTGACATGTCCACTTCGGTGTGAGTCTTGCTTGGAAGGAGGGGCCTGAGTGCCGTCGCGGGGCGGGGCTGGAGGGTGGGCCGGGGCTGTGGGTGTGTCTGGGGCGGCCGGTCACAGGCCCCGTCCCTCTCCGCCGGCTGCAGGTGTCTCCGCGGGCGGGAGCTCTACCCAGGGTGGCCCTGACCTAAGTCAAGGGCATGGGCCCAATAAGGCAAAGTCAGGCTGAGGCTGCAGTTCCCGTGAGAGTGTAGCCACAGGCTGGGGCGAGGGGAGGGTCGCCCCAAAGGGCGGGCTGTGTGCTGGGGCGTGGGGTCCCCCAGAGGATGAGTTGTTAGGGTGTTGGGGTCCCTCAGAAGACGGTCTGTGTTTTAAGGTGTTGGGTCCCCCAGCGGAGAGGCTCTGTGTTAAGAGTATTGGGATCCCCCAGAGGACGGGCTGTGCACTAGTGTACTGGGGTCTCCCAGAGGATGGGCTGTGTGCTGGGGTGCTGGGGTCTCCAGGGGATGATGGGCTGTGTGCTAGGGTCCTGGGGTCCCCCAGGGGACGGGCTGTGGGATTGCAGTGCTCCGTCATCTGCATGTGAGGCGATGACCAGGTGGGACCAGGAGAAATTAGGGTGTTTGGAAGAACTGGATGAGGAATATGTGAGAAAGAGGGAGAGGTCTGCATGGGCAGAGGTTGCTGTCTCCCAGGGAAGAGGCGGGAAGTGGGGTGGGATAAGAGCCCCTACTGAACCCCGGACAACCACCAATCTATCCCCATTGATATAAATTTGCTGTTTCGAGAATGCTGTATTCATGGGATTTGAGTGAATAGTCTCTTGGAACTTGCTTTTTTCACTGAGGGTTTTCTTTTTTTTTTTTTTTTGAGACGGAGTTTTGCTCTTGTTACCCAGGCTGGAGTGCAATGGCGCGACCTCGGCTCACCACAACCTCCGCCTCCTGGGTTCAGGCAATTCTCCTGCCTCAGCCTCCTGAGTAGCTGGGACTACAGGCATGCACCACCATGCCCAGCTAATTTTTGTATTTTCAGTAGAGACGGGGTTTCACCATGTTGACCAGGATGGTCTCCATCTCTTGACCTCGTGATCCACCCGCCTCGGCCTCCCAAAGTGCTGGGATTACAGGTGTGAGCCACTGCGCCCGGCCACTGAAGGTTTTCACTCTGGATTCCTCTGGGTCGCCGTGTATGAATTGTCTGTTCCCTTTGATTGTGGCATGGTCTTGCAGGGCATGCACGCACCACACCCTGCTTTCCGCTGCCCGGTGGACAGACGGCTGCTCGCTTCCAGTTTTCTATATAGCTACTATGAACATTTGAGTGCAGCATTTTGCGTGAATGAAAGTTTCATTTATCTGGGATTAATGTCCAGGAGTGCAATTGTTGGCTGGTAGTTGCAATTTTAGGGTTTTTTTTGTTTGTTTGTTTTTTTTTTTTTTTGAGATGGAGTCTTGCTCTGTCGCCAAGCTGGAGTGCAACAGGGTGATCTCGGCTCATGGCAACCTCCGCCTTCTGGGTTCAAGCGATTATCCTGCCTCAGCCTCCTGAGTAGCTGGGACTACAGGCGCGCGACCCTACACCTGGCTTTTTTTTTTTTTTTTTTTTTAGTAGAGATGGGGTTTCACCATGTTGGCCATGATGGTCTACATCTCCTGACCTCGTGATCCTCCCACCTTGGCCTCCCAAAGTGCTGGGATTACAGCGTGAGCCACCATGCCCAGGCACAATTTTAGTTTTTTAAAAACTGTCAAACTGCTTTCCAGAGTGGTGGTACCATTTTACATTTCCATCGGTAATGCAGGCGTGAGCCAGCCCCTGGAGTCCTCGGCAGCCTGAGGTGTTGATTTCTTTCCCTCCCCTCCTCCCTCCCTTCCGTTCTCTTTCTCTCTCTCTCTCTCTCTCTCTCTGTCTCTCTCTCTCTCTCTCTCTCTCATCTCTCTGTGTCGTCTCTCTGTCTCTGTCTCTCCTCTCCTCTCTCATTGCCCAGTCTTGGCTCACTGCAAAAGAATGAAAATTTGTCTCAAAAAAAATTCAAATTGACCGGGCGCGGTGGCTCAAGCCTGTAATCCCAGCATTTTGGGAGGCCGAGGCGGGTGGATCACGAGGTCAAGAGATGGAGACCATCCTGGTCAACATGGTGAAACCCCGTCTCTACTAAAAATACAAAAAATTAGCTGGGCATGGTGGTACATGCCTGTAATCCCAGCTACTCGGGAGGCTGAGGCAGGAGAATTGCCTGAACCGGGGAGGCGGAGATTACGGTGAGCACAGATCGCGCCATTGCACTCCAGCCTGGGTGATAAGAGTGAAACTCCATCTCAAAAAAAAAAAAAAAAAAAATTCAAATTTAATTTACTTAATAGATATTATAGAGATATCCAAATTACCCATTTTATATTGGATGAATTGTAGTAATTTGTGCTTTTCGAGGAATCGAAGTTTTCCAACTTATGTGTGTAAAGTTGTAAAATGGTAATCTAATATACCATCGTTATTCTCTGAGGTCTTCAGGGTCTGCAGTGATATTTCCTGTTTCATTCCTGAAATTAATAACTTGCATTCTCTCTTTTTTCTTTCCTTGGCATGTCTTGCAAGAGGATTGTTAATTCTATTGATATTTTCAAAGACGCCGCTCTTCCTTTTATTGATGTTTTTCCCACTGCTTTTGTTGATTTCTTTTCTGTTTCATTGATTTTCAATCTCACCGTTGTTATTTCTCACGTCTGCTTGCTTCGGGTTGATTTTTCCTCTTCCTTTCCTAGGTTATTGAGATAAGAACGTACATTATTTTTTGAGACTTGCTCTCCTTCTGCTATTAGCATTTATGCTGTTAATTTTCCTCCCATCACTGATTTAGCTGTGTTCTGCTGACTTTGGTATGCTGTATTTTCACTTTCATTCAGCTCGATATAATGTTGATTTCCCTTGAGACTTACTTTTCCAATCCTGGATTTTTCGAAGTGTGTTTGATTTCCAAGTGTGTAGATTTTCTTCCTGTCTTTCTGTTATTTATTTCTAATTTGATTGCGTTGTGGCTACAGAATACTCTGTATGATTTCAATTCTTTTAAATTTGTTGAGGTTTGATTTGCGGTTCAAAGTGTGGTCTGTCTTGGTGTGTGTTCTGTAGGCGCTTTGTAGGATACTCTGCTGTTGTTGGAGAGTTCCATAATATTGATTATATCCTATTGGTTGATGGTGTTGTTCAGTTCTGTATCTGCACTGATTTTCTGTCTAGTTGTTCTATTAACTGATGAGAGATAAATGTTTAAGTTTCCAACTATAAAACTGTAACATAAATGTCTTTCTCCTTTTAGTTCTATTCGTATTTGTGTTAGATATCTTGCAGCTCTGTTGTTTTCTGCGTATGTGTTTAGGATTTCCATGTCTTCTTGGTAAAGTGACTTTTTTTTTTTTTTTTTTTTTTAAATCACTACACGATGTCTCTCTCTGTGCCTGGTAATTTTCTTTGCTTTGAGGTCTACCACATATGTGAATATAACCTCTCCTACTTTCTTTGCATAGATGCTTGGATGATCTGTAGTTTTCCATCTTTTTACTTGCAGCCTACCTGTATTGTAATTTTATTTTTTGACTTTTGTTTTAGATTCAGGGGTACATGTGCACTTTGTTACAAAGGCATGTTGTGTGACACTGAGGTTAGGGATACCACTGAACCTGCCACCCAGGGAGTGAGCAGAGTCCCCAGAAAGCAGTTTTTCAAGCTTTGGCCTCCAGTCCTCTCCCTGTTCTAGGAGCCTGGTGTCTGTTGCCTCATCTTTATGTCCATGTGAGCCCATGTGTGACTTTAGAAGTGTTTCTTGTAGACCGTGCATAGTTGTAATGTTTTATTTATTTCTTTTGAGACGGAGTTTCGCTCCTGTTACCCAGGCTGGAGTGCAATGGCGCGATCTCGGCTCACCGCAACCTCCGCCTCCTGGGTTCAGGCAATTCTCCTGCCTCAGCCTCCTGAGTAGCTGGGATTACAGGCACGCGCCACCATGCCCAGCTAATTTTTTGTATTTTGAGTAGAGACGGGGTTTCACCATGTTGACCAGGATGGTCTCGATCTCTTGACTTCGTGATCCACCCGCCTCGGCCTCCCAAAGTGCTGGGATCACAGGCTTGAGCCACCGCGCCCGGCCCCCACAGATCATTTTTAATGCAGCACAGAATTTCCTGCTGTGCACACGACGATCCACTTAACCGGCGCTCGGCTGCTGCACATGCAGGCCATGGCCCGTGAGAAATGTGTGGGCGCGTTCGTGGGTGGGGATGGGCACGCCCTGCACCCGCGTGGTCAGGGTGCTGAGCTCTGGGAGGGCCTCCGTGGAAGCAGCCTTCCTACTGCACGGACTCCCGCGGTGCAGACGGAGCCCCCAGTGTGCCTCTCACCAAGAGTGGTTTCTCTCCGCTGCCCTAGGGGGAAGACGGCGCGGAGCATGCACCCGGCCCCGGGCGCGCGGGCGGCGGAGCTCCTCCTGCAGGCGTCTCCGCGGGGAGCCGGCGGCACAGACGCCTCGCACTCCTGCCTCAGCGACTGGGCTCCTGCAGGCGGGGAGGTCGCCCCGTTCCTTGCAAAGGGGAGGTGAGTTTGAAACAGCGCCGTCTTGTGAAGCTGGAGTTCACGAAGGTTGGGTTTCCATGAGCGTCGTTCCCCCACCGGTGTCGTGGGAGAACTTTCCAGAAATATTGCAATAATTTCTCTAGCATTAGATCACTTTCCTAGCTTAGTTTTGATGAATGATGTTTGTAAAATATGGTGAACTTAATGTAGCTGTAAAAGATAATAAAAATAGAGAGTTTGCAGCATAAAGACTTAGCACTTTATTATTTAAGGTATTGCAGTTCTGCCGTGTTGGAAAGCATCTGTCTCTTAGGACATGCTTTGTCTTTCCTTCCTTCCTTCCTTCCTTCCTTCCTTCCTTCCTTCCTTCCTTCCTTCCTTCCTTCCTTCCTTCCCTCCCTCCCTCCCTCCCTCCCTCCCTCCCTCCTTCCTTCCTTCCTTCCTTCCTTCCTTCCTTCCTTCCTTCCGTCTTCTCGTTACCCAGGCTGGAGTGCAATGGCACGATCTCGGCTCACCGCAGCCTCTGCCTCCTGGGTTCAGGCAATTCTCCTGCCTCAGCCTCCCGAGTAGCTGGGATTACAGGCACGCGCCACCATGCCCAGCTAATTTTTTTTTATATTTTTAGTAGAGACGGGGTTTCACCATGTTGACCAGGATGGACTCGATCTCTTGACCTCGTGATCCACTCGCCTCAGCCTCCCAAAGTGCTGGGATTACAGGCGTGAGACACTGAGGACATGCTTTATTTCTATATGTACAGCAAGGGAATTAACTGAGTATTGTTTTTCATGTCAGAAAAGTCAGAATTTACATAAAAGAAAATAAAAGAATAATTTCAACTTTTATTTAAGATTCAGGGGTTAAATGTGCAGATTTGTTACCCGGGTATATTGCGTGATGCCGAGATTAGGGGTACCAATGATCACCCAGGTAGTCAGCCTGGTACCCAATAGTTACTTTTCCACCCTCCCTCCTCCCGCCTCCGTGGGGTCCAAGTGTCCACTGCTGCCTGCTTTGTGTCCGAGTGCACCCAGGGTTAGCACCCACTTCTCATGATGAGAACATGTGGCATTTGGTTTCTTGTTCCTGCGCTAATTCGCTTGAATAATGGCCTCCAGCTGCATCCATGTTGCTGCAAAAGACATCATTCCATTAGAAAAAAAATTTATTTATTATACTTTAAGTTCTGGGGTACATGTGCAGATCATACATGTTTGTTACATGGGTGGTGGTTTGCTGCATCCATCGCCCTGTCGTCTACATTATGTATTTCTCCTAATGCTATCCCTCCCCAATTCCCCCACCCCCTGCTATTCCTCCCCTAGCCCCCCATCACCCAAGCACCAGTGTGTGATGTTCCCCTCCCTGCATCTGTGTGTTCTTATTGTTCAACACCCAATTATGAGTGAGAACATGTGGTGTTTGGTTTTCTGTTCTTGTGTCAGTTTGCTGAGAATGATGGTTTCTAGTTTCATCCATGTCCCTGCAAAGGATATGAATTCATCCTTTTTTCTGGCTGCATAGTATTCCATGGTGGATATGTGCCATATTTTCTTTATCCAGTCTATCATTGATGGACATTTGGGTTGATTCCAAGTCTTTGCGATTGTGACTCAACATTTTGTATGCTGATCAAAAATTTTGATCCATGTTTAAATATTTACTTAGGTAAAGATAATGAATGGGTTTTACATGCCCGTGCTCATGCTTCAAATCGGTACTTTGCAGTTCACACAGATGTCCTTGTAATGAGAAAAGCAGCGTCCTCTGAGTAGGTGTCTCTGCCTGCCTCTGCTGGGGAATGTTGATGACACCACAGATCTGAGCACCCTTATTCCCACAGCCAGAGTCCTGAGCCCTGCAGTGCGAATGGTCTCTCCAGCCTTTACCAAAGCACCACAGAACTGCACGTGGGTGTGGCTCATGCTGCTGCTGTGACCCCGCCCCTCCGGGGGAGCACCCTGGCCTGTGCGTACTTTCACCGGATGTTTTATTCACTAATAGTCTATGCCGTCATGTTGCAAATGGGGAATCTTTGAGTTGCTCTTTTTTGCCAGTGTGTTTCGAGACTTCTCTGTGCTAATGCCTGTAGCTCTGGTTCGTTCACTTGAACTCCTTACACAGAATTTCATGATGGGAACACGTCAGCATTCATACATGCTCTCCGGTTGGCAGCTTTTCAGTTTCTGCTCCTCACCCCCAGTACGTGCTATTAAAAACGACCTGCAGCAAGCGTTGTCTGTTATATGCTGAAGCTGTCTGCCCCCCAGTTACAGAGTTATTCTTCTGTGTACTCACCGTCTCTGGTCCTGTGTTGCAGGATCTTCTCCCAGCAAGAGGCTTCCCTTTTCCTCTTCTTTAAAGAGTGTTTTGTTGGGAAGTGTTGAATACGGCCAGGAGGACTGTGTGGGTGTGTGCCTGGGCAGGCAGATGGGGGGCAGCAGGATTGTCCTGGCCAGGGTATGAGTGATGGAAGGCTAATGTTCAGCTTCCAGTTTCTAGAAAAAGGCCTCACAGTGAGACAAGAATCGGGAAGACTAGAAGAGCATATTTTCCAAGTTCTTTGAGCTCACTTCTTCCTTCGATGTCTGGTGTACCAGGGGCAACCCCGGGGACCCCATCATGAGCTTCACAGGCAGGAGGCCCTGGGTACTCAGGCAGGATTCCAGGTGGAGGAGGAGAGGGCACGGAGAGGTGCTGACAGATGTGGGGACTTGGAGGCAGCAGCTGGCAAGTGTGATGGTCCAATGAAGGGAGGGCTGAAGGTGCCCCACCCGCACAGCCTGCCCAGGGCACAGGGAGGGGTGTCGGGATGGCACTGGCAGCTACCTGGGCTGAGTGTGGAAATGCCAGAAGGTGCCAGCCTTGCCCGAAGGCATGAGCCCTCGTGAGTGAGTGGCCCCTCCCTGGCGGAGCTTCTCCCAGGAGGAGGAGCAACAGGGAACTGCAGCCTCCAGGGGCAGCTCAGCACAATGGGGAGAATCGCATGTTGGCTCAACCCACTCACAGCGAGGGCTCTCGGGGGAAGGGCCCACTGATGTGAGTGTCTGGGTGTGGAGGGCACAGGCTGTCGTCCACGTGCTCCCAGGTGAGCCCTGGAAACAGCACACTCCTGGGCAGGTGTGTGGCTGATGGCCTGGTGGCCACGTATGCAAGATCCCAGCACTGTCATCTCAGGCTAAAGGTTACTGAAGGGTTTCATTACATTTTGCTCTTCTTGTTTCATAAAAATAGGTGGAAATGAAAAAAAAAAACCAGTATTCTTATCAGAGAAAAGATATGTAAGTCTTTGCACCTAGCATAGGTGGGAGTCCTAGGCGTGAGGAAACCAGCAAAGCCTTAGTCTCGTGAAGTTGAACTCATCTGTAACAGGTTCAGAGGTGAAGAGAATGAGCAGAAGGAAAGAATGCTATGAGATGCTGTAGATAGACTGTGTTGAAAAGGTGATTTGGGGCACCGTTTTAGCTCTCGGGCATCGTCCCCTTGTAGCCTGCTTTTCTGCTGTTTGTATGGGAAGGGCAAGCCAAGGCTGCAGCCTCTGTGCTCCCTTTTCCTTTGGCTCCCAGGCAGCCAGGAGCCATTTCTTGGGTCAGTTACATTACCTGTGCACAAACTTATTACTAGGAATTTTCTTAAAATGATTAAAATCTGTATGACACAAGGCAGGCTATAGATACAAAGAAAGCTGGAAGGAACAGTGAATTCATGATCAATTGCCATGTAACAAATTTCTCCAAAACTTAGCAGCTTAGAAGAGTACATATTTATTTCCTGAGTTTCGTGGGTCAGGAATCCGGACACAGCTGACCTGCGTCCTCTGCTCAGGGTCTACACAGGCTTGGACAGGTTGTCAGCTGCAGCCACAGCACCTCAGGGTTCAGCTGGAGCCGGATCCTCTTCTGAGCTCATCTGTGGCCTGGGCTGTGGGACATATGGCCTCAGTTCCTTGCCAGCTGTTGACTGGAGGCCACCTCGGCTCCTTGCCAGGGGTCTACTCCATCTGGGCAGGATGAGGGACCGTCTTTTGTGACCTAATCACAGAAGTAACACGATCCCTTCTGCTGTATTCACTGGTCAGAAGCAAGTCACTAGGTCCAGCCCACCCTCGGGAGGGGGTTGCTGGAGCATGTGAGTACCGGCAGGCTGACCCCTGGGAGCCACTCAGGCACCGCCAACCCCAGAGGTGAATAGTGATGAAGGAAACGGTTGTGAAAACGTTGGAAGTGGAACACAAAGATGATTGGCATGTTTCACAGGAAGTGAAGGGAGGTCTGGGGTCCTCCCAGGTTTTCCGCATCTTTCACTGTTTGCAGCTGGTCAGAAACAATGCAAATGGCTCTTTTTCCTAGAAGTAAAGTTGGCTTGTGTCTGTGGAATGCATTGTCCAGTTTTGCACTGATTTGTACTTCAGCATTTCTTTTTTTTTTTAAGACAGTGTCTTGCTCTGTCACCCAGGCTGGCATGCAGTGGTGTGATCTCGGCTCACTCCAACCTCTGCCTCACAGGTTCAAGCGATTCTCCTGCTTAAGCCTCCCGAGTAGATGGGACTACAGGCGCGCACCACCACACCTGGCTAATTTTCGTATTTTTAGTAGAGACGGGGTTTCACCATGTTGGCCAGGATGGTCTTGATCTCCTGACCTCATGATCTGCCCACCTTGGCCTCCCCAAGTGCTGGGATTACAGGCGTGAGCCACCACGCCCAACCCGACGCAGCATTTCTAATGGCCCATGTATGTGTGGTTCTTTGCATCTTACCACTTTCCTCTAATTGCTGAGTTAAACAAAATATTGACCTGCTTTCATTTTATATTGGGACGAGAGTCGCGGTTTTACCCCCTTTACCAATTGTCCTGTAACAGAGGGAACCAGCCACAAAGACATAAGGGGAAAGCAGGCTTCATTCTCAGGGCAACACACCCCATGTCTTTGGGACCCTGGACCTGCCCTGTATCTCCAGCCGGGATGCTGCTGGAGACTCCTCAGGGCCGTTCTCCCCGTCCTACCTGAGGACTTCCACC